TAAATTCATGTGATAAAGCACTTTTGACCTCAACCACTGCACCACCAGTGACACTGCCTTACATCACTCTGGCCATCTCTCCATCTCACATCTCTGTGACCTTCAGCTAAACATCGTTCATGTCGTCCACCATCTCACATTCTGTGCCCTTATCCTCCAGACAGGTAAAACATAATTCACTTTAGTGTGTCTTTTGACACCATCTTCGAATCCTGTGAAACTACCACTGTGTAGTATCTGTGGAGGTGACCAAACAGAGCTGTAGCTGTGCAGAGCCTGCATGAGGATTAGGAGGTACAGTACACCCTGACTGATTTTTATACCTGATCACCACACAGTGTTTCTGAAGTGTGAAGGGAAGTTTATATTTAGTTCTTGGGTGTAAAAACACCGGTGTACCTGTCATGGTTAGGTTAAAAGCATAAATGTGTAGGATCACATCTGTGAACATTTATTTCTATCTAGAGGGAACAAATTATGCAACCAAATCTTATATTACATGTGGTGGAAAGAGACATTTTTCAATACACTAAATGTTAACTAAATATCTGCTTAAGTTTATTATGTATACTGCTGGAAATCTTGTTTGACACCTTTTGTTGAACCATTGTAAAAGTTGGCACACAGTGGGAAGAAAAACCCTTTAGAATAACCTCATCTTTCAGTTAATTGTTCGTAAAATATGATCTGATCTGATCTTCATCGAAGTCATGATTATACACAAACCCAATGTGCTTGAGCAAATGACACACAAACAATTGAACTTTCAGCTCAGGCAAATCGTTAGGATGCGTGTTGTGAACAGCTCTCTTCAGGTCATTCAACAGCATCTCTACTGGATTAAGGTCTGGGCTCTGACTGGGCCACTCCAGAAGGTGGATTCTCTTTGTTTAAAGTCAGGCAGTTCTGTTGTAGATTTACTTTTATGTTCATTGTCCTGCTACCCCACCCAGCTTCTACTGAGCTTTAATCTGGCAGACAGCCACAGAGACATTATCCTGTAAGATACCTTTATATTGTCTATGGCAGTCTATTCATCGCAGGGAATTCATTTCTCCCAATGATGTGGAGCTGTTGAGGCACAGAGGCAGCAAAGCCCCAAGTCATGACGCTCCCTCCATTGTGTTTCAATGTTGGGATGATGTTTTCATGTTGGTATGCAGTGCCCTTTTCCCAATAGCATTGTGGAGTGTGAAGCTGCTCTTTGGCAAACTTTAGCTGCACAATGATGTTTTATTGAAAAGCAGCAGCTTTCTCTATGGTGTCCTGCCACCATGCTCCATGCAACCATGCACCATGATTTGCGTATGGTAGACCCATGAACAGAGATGTTAACCACGTCCAGTGATTCCTTTAAGCCTTTAGTTGTCACTCTGAGGTTCTTTTTTTTTATTTTATTTTTCTATCTTAACTGAGCATCCTGCTTTTGAGTCATCTTAGCTGGACACCCACTTCTCGGGAGAGTAGCCACAGAACTGACTCACCTCCATTTATAGACAGTTTGACTGTGGACTGATGAATATCTAAACTCTTTAAAATGACTCATTCAGTATGGACGAGAACAATACAATGATTATCATTAGTTAAAATTGATCGTATTTCTTCATAACTGTAACTTTGATGAAGCTCTCACCATACACTGACAAGTCACAACATTAAGACCAGTTACCTGTTTTAATGTTGTGGCCGATCGGTGCATTGTTATTGGCATGTAGGCTTAAAAAAACAGTGAGCATGATAAATACAGTATCAGCTAATATTAGCCTTGCCTAAGTGTCGTAGCTTACAATACAGTATGTGCACTCACATACCCATCAGTCACAACATTAAAGCCAAGTACCTGTTTTAATGTTGTGGCTGATCGGTGTATTTTAAGACAACTGTTTACATAATGCAGGTAATTCCAAAGGGTTCACTTCTTGCCACTGACTACTGCTATTTAAATTTAGCTTCATTCATCTCTGCAGCTGCATTTTTAATCATAATTTATTACAGTGATCACTGCACGAATTACGGATACATCAATTGAAATTCAAAAGGAAAAGTCTTAATAGATCATGATGAATGGCAAACACAGGAGAAGTGCATTGACAAAGATGAACAGTGATCACAAGCAGACACTCACCATTAGTACATGAGAGAAGCTTCAATGGATATTACAGCCTTGGTTTCATCAAAGGTGTTTATACTGCAGGGCTGTTTGTAATAATATTACATTACATAATAAGGGGGCTCTCCGTGACACCTTTATTGTTATTGTTATGCATATATATGTGAGTAAGTAATTTTAGGACAATACAGTTACAGCTCTTCCATACTGCTTACTCATGTGTGAATTTGCTCTAAATTAAACAGGAACAATGATGATGATCGCTGTTTTGTTAAACTGTTCTGTACCAAAATTCTCATCCTGGTTCATATTTTCATTCAAGTGAATGATGAGTTTCATTTTACAAAAATGAGTCATATTGGTCACATCGATATCAAATAAATTCAGTATTAATCCAGTTAACTGCTATATAACAAGATAAATTTTAAATTGATGCTACAACCATGAATATTTTAATAAATATCGACAATTATACAAAGATAATGCAGTGATAATTACTGCAATATTCATTTTACACATCGTCCATCATGAAAAAGTTAATGTCAGATATAAACCATAATGTAGCTGTGAATCAGAAACCATCTCTGCAGCAATTTTGCTTCCAAGTTGTAACGTTTTGATCCACATTTTCAGGCCGGTTGGACAGAGTGTAATCAGTCAACGGGTCCCCAAATTTTAATGGGTCATTAAGGGTTTTAAAGGGCTTCAAAGAAGCTTGTGAGGGGTTCTGAGGACAGTATCTGTGAAATTCTTATTTTGTCCTCATTCTTTCTCCTCCATCCTGCCCGACCCCCATCCTCCAATCGTCATCCCTCCACAGTCCTGATTTATGGCCCCATCCCTGCCTGCACTCATTCCCCTCTCTTTCACGCTTCTCAGGCCGACCACAGATGTACACAGACACTTACGAGGCAAGTCATATGCTTGTGCTAAAAGCGTAGACTTTGCACAGCTGTGTACAGTGGTGTGTGTTACAGAGCGTGAGGGTAAAGAGGGCTGGGATGAAGGGGGGGCATTAACAGGAAACAAACCCCTCCCACGACTGTCCATCTTTCTCATCCCCACCGCTACACTACCCCGCCATTATGATCACTTGATTTCTCTAATCTTTAATGAATAATTGGCGAGGGAGGAAAGTGGAGCAAAGTGCAGGTTCTTCCATTTACAAGACAACTTCATTCGGTCTTAAATGTGCGCGGAGGAGTTGAACTGAGTGGAAAATCCGTGTAACCTGCAGAGGAGGCCATTTCAACCTGGCCCAGAAAAATTCTGCGGTACAATCCTTTTACACTCCACTGCTTTTGCTGCAGTGCCCTGTATTATGCACCCATCCCTCTTTCCTTCCATCTTTCTTACTGTCCTCCTTAGCCTCCAACTCCACTCCACCACCCCCCCCCACCCGCCACCCGCCACCCCCACCACCACCACCACACAACTGCAACTGAGCTGATCCTTATCCACTGTCTCTCGGGCAAATACTTAAGGCTAAAGCAGGAAATTCACTCTTATTTATGGAGGGAGATAAAGCCGAGGACCACATGCACACACCCACATACACTCACAATCTGTGTCCAAACACCGGATCGTCGCATGATTATGAACAAGTAGCCTTTTGCAAACACAATAAAAAGACTGGCTTTGTTGTTGTTTGGGTATTTACCAAAGTTCGTAGATGTGTATCTAATGAGATAAATGTTAATATCTTATTCTCTGCAGGGTAGGTTGTGAGCCCTGTGTGTGTCACTGTGTTTGACCTTCAACCTCTGCAAGATAATATGAACTCACTTACCAGAAGAAAACCCAGCACACCAGACTTCCACAATTAGATCACAATTATTCAATTAGCACGGCTGCAGTATATAGACAGGGTGAAGAGAGAGAGTGAAGAGAAGAGGGGGAAGCGCTGGAGTAGAGAGGAGGAAGAGGAAGCAGGAAATGAGATGAGAGGTAATGTGAAAAAAAGGTGCAAACCAATTCAGGGGGTGAATGTAGAGGAGATTTTATCACATGAGGAAAGGGGAGGTGGAAAAAAAAATGGAGCGCAGACCAAAAAGGAAGATTAGGATGAACAATCTGTGAGTAATCTGCGGTTGCAAGGGTCCGTTCTCGACTGTGTTAAAAACAGAAACCCATTATTCAGCAAAAACTAAGAAACAATTCACTGCTTTGTAAAAAGGTATCAAAGCCTGCGCTTGTATGCACAGAAGAGCCATAAGCGGCGACTACAGCCCAATGAGCATTTTACTGTCTCTGTGTCAGTGACAGGGAAGCAGTTAGAGTAGCATTGTGCAAAGCCGTAAACACATTGCTGGACCACAGAGAATCGATATGGCGCCTTGGAGCATGGAATTACACTGCTGTGATTCTCCCTCTTTTTACTTTGCATTGACTGCACTCTCCTCTAGCTATGCTACCCTGTCATCCTGCCTCCCCTCTTTCAGGATAACCTGGCTTACCTGACAGTCTCAACGATTATCGCATTCCTTTTACTTATTGCTCGGCACGGATACAGGCTGACCACAGATCCAACTTCTCCACACAAAGGAAAGGCCTTCCGTGGGGAGATGAGGATACAGGCAAAGTGAACCTCTGAATGTTTCTAATAGAGGCTGGTGTTTGTGCTATCGGGGGTGAAAAATGTCACCCATCATTTCTCTGCCTGTTCCTCTAATAACAGCCATTAACACTGGAGGGGAGGACATCACACAGCTCAAACCCACGCACACATCCAATTTGGCGGAGTAACAGACACACGGATGAAACAGGAGAGTTTAAGGTGTGAGTGAGGGAAAAGTTTATCAGAGAGGGAGAGAGTGTAAGTGAGAGTGTGTGTGTGTGTGTGTGTGTGTGTGTGTGTGTGTGTGTGTGTGTGTGTGGTTACAGCACTCACATTCCTCCTCTTTGGGGTCCAGCTGTGTGACACTGATGGAGAGGCGGTCCACACGCTCTTGCAGGGAGTTGACCCGGAAGGAGAAGGAGTGCGCCTCGTTGAACAGCTCTCCGAACAGGTCTTCTGCATATTTACCTGCACACACATACAAGAAAACAAACACTGGTAAACGTTGCCACAAAACACTTACACTGAAATATATTTTACACTCAACTATAATAACCAACAAAGTGTTAAAATGAAAAAAAAAAAAAAGATCCAGCAATAATGAGAAAATGTGTTAATTGTCTAAAGTAGATGATTAATGATAATGTTTATCAGTTTATCAGTACTCCCTGGAGATTTTCACATTCACATATTGAAGGTCTTAGTTATATTTCACATCAACTGACTCTGGGGGCTTACCTACTCTATAACATCTAAATCCTTTTGTTTTAAAAAGGAAAACTGAAATCCTTTGTCAAACACAATCATAGCAACTAGAAGTGATGGTCTTCTTCTATGTCAAGCAACATGGTTTTAAAAATGTGTGATAACTGATACCGAGTTGGAGAAATGCTGTGTCAGTTGTGATTGTAAATCCCCCGGGAAGCTGTTGTTGCAGGCTGACTGCTCTGATGGAGATGTGAGTGCTAGAGATGTTTTACCAGAGACAGGTGTGTGATACCAGAGTTAGAGGAAAAACAAAGTTACAGATTAAACTTAAGACGAAAACTGGAACATTTTAACTCAATTATCTGTAAAAAATTTCAAACCGGTTTATGATACCTCAGTATGCGTTCCAATTTCTGTCCTGCTAATTTCCATTATCAGACACCATTTCCTCCATGAACTGAATTAGACCTTTCAGCCTCTATAAATATGACACTACTGTAGCATATGAGTCACGACCATATGGCACAATATGTACTGTTTTCTCACCCTTGCCAACACAAAAGCTTTACATTGGAACTACCAAATATCGTGCAAATTAGGTGACTGCCAGTGAAGCATATGTATAGATTTGCTTTGTAAATAGTCATGAATGACAGACTTACACTTTCCACTGGAGAGTGGATTTTAGAAATCTGTCAACTGCAAATATGTCTAAATCGTCAAATCTGTCAGTAGTTCATTTGTTACTTTACCAAATGAACTATTACCATGATGTGCAGTATCTTTAATCATTCAATATTTATATTTTTTAATCAAAATATCCAAGCATTTAATTTATCCAGTTCATTGGATTTATTTTTGTTTTGTTTATTTATTTTTTTTATTTTTTTTGAAAAAATATGCTTCTATTTCACAATAAAATTTGCTTATTTATAGCTCTTTACTAGTTTATTAAACAGTTCATTACTAAATAAACCAAATTTCACAGTCTCCTCTCAAACTTTATTATCTCTTTGCAAAAATACACAATAATGAAAACTGATCTTGAGTGCTAAAGATTATTGAGCGCGTCAAAAAACAGTTTTCTGAATATTCTAATATTCAGATTCCTTCAATGTTCTTAATATTTCCAAGAAATAGGCAGAATGAGAACTGACTGATGAGTATGCATTAGTTGTGCCAGTCCATAGCAGCTGAAAGGTCGGCTGATCAACTTATGGGGAGCAGTGGTGTATATGTAGAGTATGTCTGCTGTGTGTCTCTATTTAAATAAGTGTGTGTGTATCTGTGTGTGTCCTTGTGCTACTGACTGAGGCTGCTGAGCTGGCGGATGACGTTGGCCAAGGAGATGTTAGTCACACACTCCAGCTCGTTCTTGATGTTTCTTGGCAGCACCGTGTGGCACAGGTGCCTGGGCTCGATGGTGCGCTTCACCAGCGGCATCCTTCTGCTGCAACACCACTAACTACAGGAGTCAGATGGAGGAGGACAGAACAGAGGAGGGGAAGGGAAAGAGGAAGGAGAAGTAACACAAGACAAAACTTCATTAGTACACCAATACTTGACATTGTGATTTTGCTGCTTACTACAACTGTGAACCCACGAAGAAGAGACAGAGAAAACACTTGTTTAACTGATTGTTTTGCTAATAACACCGGAATTATAGAGGGAGGCTGAGAAAGCCTTTAGTATAGGAGAGAGAAAGATGAAAGAAAAGATGAAACATGCTGTGGGTTGAGGGGTAAAAGGAGCGTGCAGAGATTGAATACAGTGTGAGGAGGTTGGTTAAACCGGATCCTGGAGAAATATAAAATACAGCAGAACAGCAGGGAAGAAATGTTTTGACATTGCTAACAGCCATGTTGCCTCATCTGTTTCACTGACTTAGCACTGTCTTTTCCTTTTCATCGTGCATAGCCAGGCTAACATACCTCAGCACTTTGTCTGCCCACTCAGCCATGCTAATGGCATTAAGGCTGCAGCGTGGGGCTTCTTAGGCCCAGTTCTCCTCCATTCACACCAATGGCAAAAACAAAACCACAGAGTCTGCAATAATCCAGAACCAGGCTATGTTTACAGAAATCATAAAAGGTGCACCTAATGTACCCATTTGCACTTAATACACCTTAACACCTCAAAAAGCCACAATAAACTGTTAACCAGTCAAAGAGCATGCGCCTAGGCTAGCTGCTTTGTAAGGCTGTGAATGTCAGCATGCTAACATGCTCACAATGACAATGCTAATATGAAGATGTATAATGTTTACCATGTTTACCATGTTCACCATCACAACCACCATTACAATAAATCCCAAGATGGACATAAATATTTGGACAAAACTTCATGCCAATTCATCCAATATCAGTCTGAACCAAAGTGGAGCACCTCCTGATTTTTCCATCCCGACAGCCAAGCCACTACTGGCATGGCAAAAAATGTCACATATAATTGCCAGTCATAACTTAAATATATATGAGAGTTTAGATGAACAAAAAAACATGAAAGCAACTTGATGATGAAGGTGAAACTGAAAGGTGAGAGCTGAGAAGACAGGAACACCATCCTCTGTCTCTCTGCTGTTAGCCTGGTTTTAATTAGAGGAAGCATGTGCATTGATGTGGAGATCAGGTGCTCAGACAGACTGAGTGATTGACTGAGCTTGACAATGATAAGGCCTCGTTAAAGCACTTTAATTGATGTCTGGTTCTTTCAATATCACGCCATATTCTTAGCAGTGTTGCCGTCACTGAGGAATAAACATGATTATTGACCATATCCATAAAAATGTAGGCCAAAGAAGGCTATTCTAGGAAGTGGCCCAGCTTGGGATGGTTAGAGGGGAGAGGGAGGGGAGTCCAGTAAAAGGCTTTGTTGAGGTGATTCATCTTGGAGGCAACTTAACTAGGGGCATCAGTTGCCATAAAAGGCAAGAATGAGATCACGCACCTCTCTCTAAGCCATAGTTAAAAGTGGTTTGAATGAGGTGTGAGGGTGATGTTACTGTGACACAAACCCAAACAGAGAGCCAAATCCCTTCCCATCCCCTAAAATAACAAGAAACCCTCTCTACTCTTCAGAGACTTTATTTCCTCACACAGTCTCTCCATCACCCACACACGTACGCTCTCTCTCCATTCCTTCCTGATTGGGAACCTTCTCTTGACCCAATGCACACTGACATTTTTCACAGCCTCTGGTGGTCTTAGTAAAAGAGGTTTAACCCCTGAGCTATCACTTTCCGAGGTGGAGATGTAAACGCAATTGTTACTGTGTTGACCTTTAACATACAGGCCCAACACTGCTTAATGTAAAATCTACTGTGGGATACCAAAGGACAATCTCAAATCAAAAATAGCAGAGACTTAAAGCTGGCTGTATCAATAATCTCCTCTAAACCTCAGCAAAAAAGGAAAAAAGCATATTTCCCAAAATTTCATACTTTTCCTTTAATAAATAAAACATCAACAATAAAAAAATACAAATTTTGTTGTTAATCTAATTTTCTTCAAATTGAGTTGCTGCTCCCTTTGCACAATCTTCATCCCAACTCCCTCTGAGCAAAAACATGCTCCTCTTCTAATGTTGATTTAATATCATGAATCAATACAGCATTTATTTAACTTCATTCATCTAATAGGTTTACTTTATGAGAACAGTAAGTGTTCTTGTATTTTGTACAGCATATCTCTGGGGTACAGACGTACAGACAAATAGGGAGGCAAACAAAAATTAAATCAGTCAATCATAACTCTGTTTATTTCTCTGCCATGCATGTACACTAGATTCTTTGACACAAACGCAGATACACACACTCACACATACACACACACACGATGACAAATGTATCTTGGGGGCAAGCTCATACTGTCTTTGTACCCCTCCCCCTGTGCTCATCTCTCCCTCTTCAAGGCTTCTCTCTTGTCTCATCTCCTCATAAAGGAATGTTTTGTCCTCTTAGCAACTTTCCTCCTACCGAGTGGGTCATGAGTTATTTCTTTAGATTTGTCTAAACTGGGAAATAAAAACAATGTTTTAGGGGGGAAGTGGAAGAAAGATGACACAGACAGAGAAACAACCATTTTAGGCGGTGGTGGGCGACAAATTGACTACACATTTAAAAGAATAATAGTAGCTTTATTTTCATATGACTTTATAGAAAACAAATATTTCATGGACGACAGAGAAACGCTGCCATAAGGAGGGGGGGGGGGGGGGGGGGGGGGGGTGATGGATTCAAAAACAAAGCAGCAGTAGATGAAAGGGAATTATCATTCACTCCAACCCTCAAAGCCACATAACATAAAAGCACATAGAAATGGGTGTTAAGTGATGATATTGATTCTGCAAACCTGGACTCCTCAGGGTGGGCTTTTCAAATAGCAGAGATGCTGACAGTTTCCTCTATTGATCTCAGATGGAGATTTACGAATGATTTAAAATTGCCATGCTGAAATTCAAGTGGTTCTGTGTTTCAAAGTCATCCACAAAATCATGAAGTCAGTTATGAAATTTGCCTCTCTTTTATTAAGTGACTGCTGTATCCTCTACACTTGTGTTATGGGGTCATTTTAGTTTGTGCTCCACTTTCATCCCTGTTTTGGTCCCTGTTGTGGATCTAGCTTGTGAAAGCAACGTTAAGAGGTTATTGGAAAAAAACAAACTAAGGATGACATCTATTTCCTTTACATTATAATAGGCTCATTTACATCTTCTTGATATTTGTTGTCACAGCATTAGTGAGTAAACAGTGTTAACTTGCCTTTCCTTTCAAAAAAATTCCTCTGTCTCAGGACACAGCACGTACGCACAGCATGTGCGTGATAAATGACTGCAGCATACATTTGCTGCTTCGCTGATTGGACATAAGTTAACTCAACACTGCTATCCACAGGAGGAAAGGTTTTCTCTACACACAAGCACTCACATTCTGTATGAACACACACATACATGCTGCATTTATCAGCTGAGATTTCCATACCATGCTATGACAAGATGACATATGACAGCGCCAGTGCTATGAGAACGTTTACGGATCATCTGGAGATATTTAGTTTTAAAGTGAAAGACTAAAAAGCTTAACAGAGAAAGACATTGAGGAGGCGAGCCCAGCAGAGTAGATGATTTAATGGGCAGGTGTAGTGCGATGAAAATGACATGTTCTTGATGTGTCAGGGATTTTCTCAGACTGCAGAAATGTTAGCGTTGCAGAGGAATTAATTACTCAAAGGTAACCAGGCGGACAGCCAATTACATATAAGAGCAGCCCACTAATGCAATGACTGAGATGTTGATACGGGTAACACATAGCAGACAACTCAGACATAATAAAAGCAGCCATCAGGCAAGCTTTAAGTCCAGCTATGTGAATCATCTTTTCTGTATCTGTGAAACCAGAGGCCTTTCACATCATCCTGAATTAACAGCATTGCAGACAGACTTTGCATATAAAATGATCGATCTGGAAACCTTTTGAACACAATAAATGACACCGCACAACCTGAATCTGAGAATGAATGTCCAGACTGAATGACAAGCCTAAATCAAGCACATCAAGTCAAAAGATACATTTTTAATGTTGAGCAGCTGAGGTAATCACTCACTCTTTCCTGAACAGCAAATCTGGGGTTTAAAAACTCTGGTCACACGTCACTTCCATGGACAACTCTCCACTGTCCACTGTGCTCTCTGTAAAGCCCATATTCGAGTTAAACATACAGATGGGTAAGTAGGAATCTTTTCAGCTTGGCTATTTAACAATTATTGTCACTACACCAACAAACAGACCATTCTCACTTTTAGCTAATGGTCAATCACGTCTATGGTCCCCAGCTGAGATTCCACAGTGTTTTATGGGGCTGAAAGCGTACGAGGCATTTATGACTGCCTAGTGATTAGTATGAGACAAATTCCTGACTATTCAGCACAATAGCTGCTCCATGAGAGAAAAGATGTAGATGACAGAACAGACAGAGCTAACACTGAAAAGATTACACTTTTTCATTTTCAGTTTGATCCTGATTCAATCGAGTGAGAACTGTGGTTTCCTCTTTTGTTTGCCTTGTCAGTAAAATAGAGAATGGCCGTCACTGCAGCCCATACAAGTATCAAATGATCAGGGGTGTTCTCTGCTTAAAGAAATATGTCACATACCTGCTATTTCCCTTCCTTTTCCGTCTTTTATTTTGCCACCCAGGCCTGCCAGCCTCTTCCCTGTCCGCACACCCCTTTACCACTGTCCTCCTACTTTTACCGTCCATTCATCTTGGGTGGTGCTTCCCGCTGCCACCTATCACCATGGCAACGGCTGCAGTGGGATGTCATTGGTCACTTTATAATATCTCAAGAGAGGCAAAGGAGGTGGGGGGATGAAGGGGTGGAAGGGGGGACTGAATGAGCTAAGATTGAGGTGATGTGTCAAAACAGTGATGGCAAATGATAAATTAATGCAATATGAGACGGAGAAGA